TGTTTAATTAGATTAAACTAAGGTTAGTTTTGGGATTATAGAAAACTTTATACTATAAGGACAAGATTGATGTTGGTTTATACTAAAGGGATATGAAGCCTGTTTTTTTTGTTCTATATTAGTATAATTCTCTTTTTTATATGGCAGTCCAACACATAAACTCAAGTAAAATCGTTGGAACTCACATGTGAGAACGAAAGAGCAATGAGTTTCCAAATGCCTTTTGGCTCAATATCGTAGAAACATTGTTTTTTGCTGACTACAGCTCATATCTCACATGATGTCTAGAATTTAGTAAGAGCATCTCTAAAATATTTTCTATAATTTTTAATACAATTTTTTTGCTCTAAAAAAAATATATTAAAACTTCAAATTTGAAGTTTCGTCTTTTTATTTGCAATTTAGTCTTTATATTTACATATCTTATTTATGATTCTTAAGTATTTTTTTATTTATCATTTTAATTTTTTTAAAAATTTATATCTCACAAATCTTCAATTTACTTCTATAAATTAAGCTTTACATATAAAATTAACAAAAAAAATTTATACTAAGATTTATATTATTTTAAAAAGTAAAATTAGACAACAAGAATATTAGAAAACAAACTTAATTTTTTTTTTTTTTAAAAAGGTACATGAAGACATAATTATTATAGAAAATTAAATACTACAAAAAAACTAATAATCTGGTAAATCTGCCCCGGAAGCTCCAAAATATTCAAATCTAAATAAGTTTTTTGTAACCAAAGATGGTTGTTCTTGTTGTTCTTGACGTTATTTCGTATGATTATTATTATTATTTTGACATCATCAAAAACAGACTAAAATAGACTCTGCAAACCAAAACGGCAGCTCTGTATCCATGTGGACCACGGAAGACGACTGTATTCTCGCACTGCGTGCTAGACTATCTGCCCTAATTGAGTTCAGTGTCCTTGGTACATAAATTATTGCCGAGCTGTGAAAACTCTCTCTAAGCGTCTTGATATCTTCTAGATAGTTTGCAAAAGCTGGCCATTCATCTGGTTCCGAAACCATCTTAACCAACTGTGAACAGTCTGTTGCAAATGTAACTTGATAATGACGCAAATTCTGCATATTCTCCATTGCCTAGATAAGCGCTTCCACCTCAGAATGAAGAGGTGAGAGACTGGCTCTTTCGTCCCTGGCTCCCATTAAACCCACAAAACCTTCAAGTGTGCTATACCAACCATGTCCATCAAACACTTCCTTATCTTTCCATGAACCATCAATAAAACACCAACACCCTGGAATAGATGGTATAGCCACGATTACTTCTGACTGTGTTTCACTCTTGACTTTCCTTGATTTGTGCCTCCTCCCACAGAGTAGATTCAGTCTCCGCCAATGTGAGTGTATCCTTCGGATCAACATTTAGATTACTAAAAGTTTTGCTATTTCATCCTTTCCAAATGTACCACAATATCCATGCGAAATGATGATCCTCCATCTTAGGAATAACCCGCCAAAATAAATGATCCATATTCGTAAACAGAGACCCCGTAGGGAAAGTCAGTGGATTCAAAGGGATCTTAGACAAAGCCCATACTTGGCGTGCTGGTGGACACTCAAAGAAGATGTGATTAACCGATTCTTACTCGGCACCGCATATATCACAATATATATCCTCTTTTATCCCTCTTGCTTGCAGATTTTTCTTAACCGCAATACAGCCCGATAGCAATTGCCATAGGAAATGTTTTTTCTTGGGAGGACACCTTTGTTTCCAACAGAAAGCCTTTAAAGCATCCACTGTAGGTCCCAGAACTTGAGCCGGTTTTCCTCTATTTGGGTACACCCGTTCAACTTGATATCCTGACCTAACCATGTATTTTCCATTTTTAGTATGATTATTCTTCTTCAGAACAAATGTACTTAGGAGTATTAATATAACCGATAGAAGCTAAGTTGTTAGCAACATTTTATTTTTCTCTTTTACTTCTTTTAAATTTAACTTTTTTGCTTCATTTTTCATTCGTAATTCAATAATCTCATAATTTTTATCCCTGCTTGTTGCAGTTTCTTTTAAAAAATCAAAAATTTGTTCGTTGGATGATATCAATGACGGCATGCATTATAATGCATAACATGATAATTGAGGATTAACGTGATATTAATGTGCCAATAAAAAATACAAGATCAGTGGCAGAAGCAACAGCTGATACGGAAAATGAAGATATCCGTTTTCAACAATTTCTAGCTCGTAAACTACAAATTAAAAATAACAAGTCATTACTTACTTTGAAATGCATTAGTTGATCACATATGGGAGCATTACGAAAATAAAGTTATGGAATAATGTAGTATTTTGTTGTAGTTTAATATTTAATTATATATTTTTATTTCTATTTCTAGTTTTATATTTTACTGTAAACTTTTATTAATTAATATTGTTGTAATATTTTTATATATGTGTTAGTTATTTATAATTTTTTTATGAATTTTCATTAATTGTAACAAATATAAGGGTCATAATGTAAAACTAGACCATGACCCGCCCGACCGGTCGGGTGTTTTGTTTTCTTTTAATTTTTAGGTTTATACTAAATGATGTAAAATAAAAAATGACGTATCAATTAAATGGTTACAAATTACTATGGGTTTAATTTTGACAGAAGAATACCGAAAGTTTGATGTTTGATCCGCGCAAGTGTTTGTTTTTATATATTTTATAAGTGATAATATATATTTCTAAATTTACCCGTTTAAATACTTATTTAAAATGACATTTTAAACACACAATTTTATAGTTGATATTGAGTAATTTTATTTTATCTTATAAAATATCATTGTGTCATACTTATTTTAAAAATATGACTCGTATATCTGCACAAATGTTTTTATTTTATTTTTATGGATCAAAATTTTAGGATAATGTATAACTAAATCGTTTTATTTACTATTTAAAATAGTTGGTCCTATATATTTCTACTTTTTAAATTTTATTATTTTGAATTTACCTTGAACTATTATTTATATAAAAATATACATAACATGATAGGTTTATATTAATCTTTTTATTATATATTATATAAATGTTTCTTTTTATGACTTTTATTTTAGTTATTACTCATAAAGAATAAAAATATAATTATATATCTTTGAAAAAAATATTGTTCATTAACTATTTAAAGATATGTAGATAATTAATAAGAAAAAATCTTAAAAGGTAGGTTAATTAATATTGTAATTAATTATTATGTATATGGAATTAGTAAAACAATTTCTATATAATTTATTTATTTAATTACGAAAGGTATATATGAAAATGTTTATTTTCATTAATTATTGTTGCCATAATTTTTTCTAGTTAAAATTTGATTTAAGAAATAAATTAATTAAAGTGAAAAGACAAAGAATCCTATAAGATAGGTAATTAATAACTTCAGTGGCATAACATTGTAAATAATTAGAAAAATTTAGTAGTATTTTATATGGATACTTCTCTTTTAATAATATAGATACAAATAATTTGAAGTTAGTTTTAAAGTTTTTTATTGGAGAATAACACTTTGAAACTTTAAATATAAAGTTTATAAAACTTAAAATAGAATTCCTTTTTGAATTGCTCTAAGACTTCAAAAGATAAAAAGTCACTATGCCGTTCATTGAGACAAACGAGGCATAAAATGGGTTTTAACTGCATTAACTTTGGTTTGGGTCATTAACCAACCAAATCCCTTTTGTTTGACGGAATGAGCCCTAGCCCAATAATATGCAAGGTTTTCTTAAACTGTAGTCGACAAAGTAATTTATCAAAATTCATGTGGCTGGGTTAGGCTGGGGCATTCGGATACCTTCAGGTATGAGTATGACCCATTCGGATGTCGGTTTTTTGGATTTTGAAAAATGATCTTATTCGGGTATTACAAAAAATCGGATCGGTTCGAGTCGGATCCTCCCGGTTCCGGGTGGGTACGAATTTTAACCAAAGTAACCAAAGTACTAGATTCTAATCGGGTATTTTATATCTAAACTACTCTAAAAATAACTAAAATCCCAAAAATATTCAATATATATGATTCAAATTGGCTATTTGTTTGTTCGAAAGTAACCATAAATACAATGTTATTTGGGTATTTTGTATCCAAACATCGATTTCTATCTATAAATATCCAAAATAATTAATATATTTGACATATCATTTTTAATTTTAGGTATTACTATTAGAAAAGGTATAATTATAAATCTTATTTTTAATATATATTTATATGTTTGAATATGTTCGGATACTTATTTGGTTCTCTGTACGGGTCGGGTTCGGTTTCAATTTTACAAGATTTTTAAAAAGGACATTTTCGGATATTTAAGCCATACTCGACCGGGTTCAGTATCCTAATTTTCGAGTTGGTTTCGGATAAGTACTTCGCGTATGGATATTATGCCAAGCCCTAGTCTGGGTCATATAATTCAGTATCAGGAATTTAAAATGTAACCCTTAAATGTATTCACTTTGCGCTCGATTGGAATTTTTTTTGTCTCGACTGGATTAAGGTGGTTAATGTTGAACATACATCTAGAAAGTTCAGAAGGATTTTTCTGATACATAGCTAACACAAGCGCAACAAAATTATTTAAAACAGAAATGGACTGTTTTGTTATGCTTTCATATCCTAAAAATCATTCGCTGAAATCAAAATATTTTTTGAGCACTATTATTTTTAATAATCATACACTTGTATAAATATTTGGAGCACTATAGCCCATATATATAGTTTTACAGACTTCTTTATCATTGGTTTCAACTTTCAACACACGTCCAAGGGCATGACTTCATCCGGCACATTTGCGGACGGTTTGTATTTGACATACACCATTCAGTCCTTCGTACTCATATGCTTACTAAAGGACAAGAAAGTATGGGAAGCAAGGATTGATGAGGGAGCTGTGTATTCCCAATGTGTGTGAGAGTTTGAGACTGTACTCGACTGATTTTGTAAATTTATAGAATTTATAAATTAGGAGAAAATAGTTAAAATTATTAGTTAAGAATAGACTGTATAACATATTTTAACTTAACAAAAAACTATTGATGATTAGTTCCTATACATAAAAAACTATTGATGATTGGCTCCTTACATTAACCCTATAGTTAACATATATACAGAATCGATTTTTCCACAGTCATTGACATTGTAAAACCCATTAGAGAAGAACCCGGAGAAACCTGCCGACATATGAGGTAAGGACATATCGTAGTCATCCACCAGATCATCCAACGGATCCTGCTCAAGAACACGTGGCAAAAGATTCTCCGGCGGCGGCGGAGAAGGGATGTGGTCGGAGACAGCGGAGGAGGATAACACGGGCTCGGGCTGAAGATTAACAGCTTCTTGGCCCGTGATCTCTTGTACTGTGGGAACCGAAATTCACCTACTGTCAAAATTAAGTAAATAAGGGAATTTAGAGTAAACCCTAATTTCCCAGAGGACCCGGTTATCTGCGGAACCGCACAAGAACAATCAAGAACACGACAAGTATGAAAAATATGTAAAAGAAAAACGAGATTGAGAACAAGAAGAATCTTATTCCGAATTTGCGTAAGAACGATACAACAAGAGTAGCCTTAGCTGCGTGAGCCGTCGGCGAGATTCCTAACCCTAGCAATCTAAGACTAAAACCTTAGTTGAAATGCAGATCGATAACAAAAACGGAGATATTCCTAAATGCTAAGTTTGGTGGTGAAAGCTCTGAAAAATCGTCCCATGCTTCTGACCTCTGCCTCTTGCTTGTATACTCCCTTCCTAGGCGGTTTAGTCCTTCCATTTCGCCCAGATTCGAGTTTATCGAGAATCTTCCATTTATCTCGATCTTTCCATTTTTCCGCGGAAATCTTCTATTTATCCTCAAACTTGAAATTTATCTTCAACTTTGAGATTTATCTTCTTTCTGCGAGTAAATCGTCAAAACGTCGTCGTATCTTCGGGTTAGATTACGTCAAAGTCACGAGATAGCCTTTTATCGCGTTTTAGGACTTTCCGAACCGTTTTGCGACAAAACCGTTTTATGACTTTATAAGAGATCGTTTCCTGATGCGATGTCGTTTTTAAATAAGTTTCTTGATTTAATCGTAAAGTTTGGCAATGTTCAATGTTTCGGTTAATCGTTGCCGTTTTCTACGATTTAGTCGAGGTTTTATTAAAAACGCATTTTTTTACGATCTTTCACGAAAAATCTCGAGTACATTGTATAGTTAGGCAATATTCGGTGTTTCTTTTAACTGTTGCCGTTTTATACGATTTCCTTGAATTCTTTCGAGAAAACAAGACTTTACGTTTTTTATCGTAAAACTTCAACGATAGGATGGATCGAGACGAAACGAGAGACGTTTCAACCGTGGTTCAGAGCACGATCGTGCCAAAGGACGTATGCCTTGAATCAAGGACGTGGGAGATCGAGGATCGGGATAATCAGCTCGACGTGAGCCGAACCGGACTAGTTCAGCTCGCCATACGGCGAGCTATTCTGGTCGAGATAGCTCGATGCCACCTAGCTCGCCGTACGGCGAGCTAGTTCGGCCGAACCAGCTCGCGATTTACGGCGGATGTGGTTTTTCACGGTTTTGTGCTTAACTCGGGTGATCATGTAATCGGCGTTTGTTTCGTTATTCCGAGATAATGATCTCCAAGTTTTCCGTGGGTTTCCTTTGTTTGGAAACTTCTTAGAATTTTATAAAACGACTTCTCGAGTTTTATAAAATGTATTTTTTATTTTTTACGGAAAGTCTTGTCCATTGATTCCGTCGTACCAATTTTGACCTCAACAGTTAGCCCCCCAGCTCGTAAGAAGCGTGGAGTTCTTGCGAGAGGTTTGAACTTGTTCGGCAAGTTTGGTAGAATTAGGCAAAACTTTAATGGCCAAAAGTACAAAGGTGAATAGTGAAACTTTTCCTTATAAGTATATGGAGTAAGTTCTCAAGTTCTTTACTCATTCCTTCTATAACTTATCTAAGGTTCAAGAAGTTTTCTCTCTACTTCTCCCTTTGAATCTTCTTTTCTCTTTTGATTGTTTAAAATGTCTTCGAGTGGAAAGTTTCGGATCATGCTCATGCATCAATCTTTGACCCGAGTGACCTTGATATTTCCGACGGCTGCGCCCTTCCCCGGCCAATCTTCCGGCGTTCCTCCATCAATGAGGAAGAATTCTCGGAATATTGGTCAGCTTTGGATGTTGGCGATGTTTCCCCTTCAGGTTTCTGGGTTCCAAAGAGGGATAAGCTTCGGAGGAATACGGACGGTCTGAGTGCGAGCACTATTTGTTCCCTCGGGGATTTGAGAAATTCTCGTGCGACCCCCGAATCGGTACGGTTTCGCCTTCCCGTACAGGGTCAAGATGCCGAGAATTCACCTCCGGGTTATTTTACGTGCTACGAAGCTTTTCTGCTGAACTGTCAGTTAAGGTTCCCTATTCCGTGAGCCATCGTTGAGCTTTTGGATAGATTCGGCATATCGTTCATCCAGCTTCGTTCCACCGGGTTACAGCATCTTGTCGGGATTTTGGTGCTAGGTTACGAGCGCGGAATGTCTCTCGGTGTGGACTATCTTTCGTATATGCTGACGTTCAAGCGCACAAAAGGGGTGGCTTTTATCTAACCCCTCGGCGGGATATGACGATCATCGGCGGGCTTGCCTCGAACGATCACAAGTGGAACGATTGGTTTTTCTATGTCAAAATTGATAGCGCGTCTGTGGAAGAAAGTTGCATTCCTTCGTTCAGGACCGAATAGGCGACGAACGGTACTTCATTTGCATGACATATATACATCTATATATTTTTTGCCGCATTTTAACCTTTGCGTGCGATTTGCGTTTTGCAGTATCTACCCCTTATAATCCATTACTCGGAGATTTCAAGGCGGTTATGAATCTTCTTCGTGGCGGTCCGCTTTATTGGGGATACTTTTCTCCGAAAAGGGTTCGTCGTACCGTCGCCTATTATTCATCCGGTTTTTCTCAGGACAATCGAGGTGTGGAAGAGAGGGAGAGGTCTAGATCTCCGCTGGAAAGAGAAATTCAGACTGACCAAGGTCGAATGTTTGACGATGATGTCAACATCGAGGATCTCATTGACTTCTCGTCTCCTTCCTCTGAATTCGATCCGGCCGAGACATCGTCCAAGGCACCAGCCGATACACCGTTTGCGAAGGCGTCGAGGCTCTTTAACAAGGTCTGATTTTTGTACTCGCATTATATGCGATCGTCTCTTCCCCTTTTTTGAGGGAAGATTTTTCGTTTTTTGCAGGGTCTCTGCTTTATGAATGAAGCGGTGAGTGCGAGTAACGCGGAAATTCGCAAGGCCGATGCTAGGGCTGCAGCGGCGGAGATGGAGGCTGCTCGTCTCAACGAAGAGATCGGTGCTAGTTTCTCTTTTGCCCAGGATTTAGCCAGAAGGGAGGCCACCCGTGTGAGGGAGGAATACGAAGCCGAGTCTCGTCGTGGCCTTGAGCTCTCTGACACGATGGTTTGTTGTGCCCGTAAAGCGGGCAAGAGAGAAGTAGCCACGGAGATGATGGCTCGCCGTCAACGGTTCGTGCCTCTTTATGTGGAGTTTGAGGATGCGCAAAGGGCAAACGGCGACTATCGCGAATGTCGGGGTGTAGTTGGCGGTTTGCATCTCACCTAGGATCCGGACTACTCATATGAGGCGTTGTCTGCGAAACAGAAAGCGCACTTGGCTAAACGAGAGAGGAAGAAAGACGAGTTTGTTAACCCTGAAGCGCGGATGTGGGATCAGTGGAGACCTATTTTCGTGTCGCCGGATTCAATTGAAAACGGGACTGAGATTCCGGACGCGAGCGGCAAAGTCGATCAACCGTGGATTGATGCTGATGTTGGCCAGAGCTCGGCGTCCGTGTTTGATGATAGATGTATGATGTTATTGTTTTATAATACTGCTGTAGATTTTCCAGGACTGGCCGTTGGTGGCATTGAATCCCTGCCTCTGGGCCGCGTGTATTTGAACGAACACTTTTAATAAAAATATTTTCTAAGTATGAAATCTGCGTTTCGTTTTAGATGTAGTGGGAAGAATACGAGTTGTCGTCTCGCATCTAACTCTTGGTGTAGATCGTCCGGTTGGTTTACTCAGAATGTTTTTATTTTCGCGTGTTTAGATGTGGGCGAAGAGACATGCCTTTAGGATCTCGATTCATTCCTTGAGACGTTAGAGACCAGTGTGCTGGGTTTAGGGCAAGACCTAGGTTTACTTTCAGATTGAGGATATGCGATGACTAGTCGGCTTTCGTTTTGCCTGTTGCGATTTTAACATGATTCCATACCGATTTAGAATCCGCGAAAGATTCTCGGCTTATAAAATTCGTCTGGTTGGAACCGAGCATCTCACCGGGAACAATTTCTAAGTATCCTGGAAGTGTTGACCAAAAGTTTGGATTTCTTTTATAGCGCGCTATTTTATCCTAGTCGGATGTATGCGGACCAGTGGGTCGGTGCATTTGTTTAGGATGGCTAGAGTGCTCAACGGGGCCAATCGCCGAGTGTTTGTGTTTTTATAGTCGCGGACGGATTTTTGTGAAATATTTTTCTTAAGACTATAGGCGACGTCTCGTCGGTTCTTTCCGAAAATATTTTAGTGTACAAGTTTTGTAGAAACGATTAAGTAGTTGTTACTACAGAAGTAATTTCCGGATGTTTGGAATTTTTTTTTGCGTTTTTTGATAGTATCGGAGATTTTATAATATTCTAATTTTGTCTTTAAAAAGTTTTGAAAATTTTGATTACAAAGCGAATGTTTTAAAATCCGGGAGTATACGAAAACTCGTGTACGCACCCACTCCCCCCCCCCCCCGTTTTGGAAAGGGGGATAGCTGAACTCGTCTTTAGGCGAGCTGCCTACGTATTCCTTTCGGAAATCAATCCATCTCGTAGTTCTGATTTTTGGTGCAAGTATGCTTACTCGGCTGTCGCAGACTTTTCGATCACTTTAGTCGCTGGATCGGTTTCTTGGTCGGGGTTTGTCTCCTCGGTTGGGTAGAAGCGATGGGTGCGGAAACTTGTTGCTTCTCGACCGTTGCTGGTTTTGGATCGTTCTCCGCGGGTGGTGGTGTGTACTTCGCCCGTTTTGGTTTCACAATCGCGACCGCCAATTGTCTTAGATTATGTTCGGCTAAAATGCAGGATCATGATTGTCTCTAGCACCCCCAAATCACTGCGACTCCCGTAGGGGTCGGAAACTTGATGCCTAAGTGATATGTCGACAGAACCGCCTTCATGGAATATATCAAAGGCGTGCCCATGATCACGTTGTAGATGGCTGGGAAATTGACGACCGCGAAGTTGACGATTTTCGTCACTTCCTTGGCTGCGACTGGTAGTCGGATCGATCCCAGAG